ATAAAAAAGACAGGGGGGGGGGGGGGGGGCAAACAATACTAAAATGGAAATTTTAAAATAAGCTCATACAAAATATTAAGAAATATTCTATTTATTTAGATACTACAAATAGTAATAAATAAACAATACTAAAATAACACTAATGCAGGAAAGTCAAACATAATATTTTGTAGTGTTTAAAGGGGTCATCGGATGCAAATTCACTTTTACATGGTGCTTGCATATAAATGTGTCTTAGCAGTGTGTGGACACAACCACCCTACCATGATAAAAATCCATTCTCTCCTTTTTTTTTTTAAAAAACCTAAACAACAGTCTGAATTATCAAGCCGTTTTGATTTCCCCCTGCCCTCCCCACGACCGCTGACGGACTGTCCCGTCTTAGCATATTTCCACCCTCAGCCAGTACACTGTCCGTTATTTTCTCCGCGCTCGAGCAGCTGCAGTGACAACAATGTCTCGTAAGCAATGAAGGTGTTTTGTAGTTGGATGTAAAATTGGACATAAGATTCTTCATTTTCTCCCAACATCAGAGCCACTGAAGATGCAGGGGATTAGTTTTGTTTTTGATGGTAACACGCCACTGAATACACAAAAAACAGAAGAGAGGGATGGGGTGAGCAGTAGCTCATTATCATTTAAAGAGACAAGCACCAAAACAAAATTACAAAAGGGCATCCGATGTCCCTTTTAAATAGTAAAATTATATTGAATTTACTTATTTAACCATTATGTTTCAAATTCTAATAATTGTTCACATTAATAACGGCATAGGTTAACTTCAAGCTTATAGGACAAGGGATGTGAACACAGAATACATGGGTCTCAAGATAAGTCCTACTATTTTAATAGTTCCATTACATTATGATCTTGAAGGAATCTCAAAAAACAGATGCAATGCAATGGTAAAAGACATCCTTCTGAATGTGTATGGGTTTTACAGCGGTGCTATAAAGGGGAATGAACACAAATTTAAAGTTTTACTATGCAAACTATCTAAAAAATATCAAAGCTAAAACAATACAGAAAAAAAATAATACAAAACAATCCAGAAAAAATAATAGGGAAAATAAAAACAAACAACTAGCTGAGTTGTTTGGTGTTCAACTAGTAAACCATACTGACCCATCACTATATAGGATTACACTTCTAGTCATAATTACAGGCCAAAAAGTGGAGTAAAATGCTCCAAAAAATTGCCCTACTTAATTTTGTTACAGACTGCAAGAGAGCTGGAACTCTGGAACTAACACAGAGGTCTTTGTTTGTCCGTTTACCACCGACCCCCAGAGAAAGAGCAGAAACAAGCTACATTCTCATTCTAACAGGAACCTATTCAATTATGAACTTATCTGATCAATGAGGACTGCAGAAAGGGCTAGACCGGCTCATGTCACTTCACAGTTTTTATGTAGCAAGAGGAGCAGGCAGATGTTTGTTTATGGATAAAAGATTTTGTCAGGTCAATGAGTCCTTTCGTATACAACGCTCGCTCAAAATTAACCATGTGGACAGTAGCTTTTTTCTAAGCAAATAAAAGCTGTTTTAGAGCCCCATGACCAAATCAAGCTTCTGACTGCAAAACAAAATCACAGATTAATGAATGAAAGTGCTAAAATGAGTTACAATCTACTGGATTTGATCTGACATTCAGATCCATTACCACCTGTAGAAACACTGGCCAAAATGGAGGTCCACCCAGCTTGAAATTCAGGGCTTTTCCAGTTACTTTTGGCTAAAAGAAAACATTCTCCACTTCCCTGAAGGGAAAAGGAGCTGTATTTAGTCAGCTGCCTGCATTACTTACTATGGGGGAAACCCTGGATATCTGGCAGTTTCTACAAATTGTGCAAGCAGAAACTCTGAAAGTGAATATTTGCTTTTGTGATTACAGCTTTAGAGGTGGAAAAAAAATATCAGGGCTGTAATTTGACCAGTTTAAGATCATGAAATCAATATGACGACTCACAGATGCCTCACACCATATTTTTACCTATGGTTATGTTTGATATGGTCTTGTCATCCCCCCCTCCAAAAAAAGCAATGAAGCTCAAGTATGACACAAGATATTGTGTTTCCATCCACTCTGATGAGAACCAGCTCTGATCTGTTCCTTTAACAGATATTTTGATTTTCCATTTCACGAAGCCTGGATGGAAAATCATATGGATTAAAGCGAGCCCCTCGTGATAGTATGGAGTGATCTTTGGCTCCAAGCAAACTTTTGAACAATACTTTCCAGTAGTAAACACAGGAGATTTTAATCAGTCACAAATGGACTGAGGAATTACATTTCCATACGGAAAGAGGAGAAAAAAACTGTCGGGTTGACTTAATTGGCAGTAGTACTAAAAAATGTTGTCTCAGCCAGAGGCCCTAAGCTTACCATGCACCAATCGCTCCATGACCCAGATGACCAGCTCCATCAAGAACCTCCCCATCTCTCAGAAACTCATCCAGATGTGCGCTCCCTCTCACATACCTTCACAATCAATATCGTACAGCCCCCCCTCAGGCCAAAGAACTGTCAAGCCCCTCATGCAAATTAATTCATGTGTTTTACTAGCAAATACACAATAAATCAGCACACTGAATATTCCCTTAAAGGGTTGTTAACCAAAGCACTGTAGGAGGGACGGTCATGACTGGCTAGCTTGATGGCCAGACAGGCCTACGAGTACAAAGGTAGAAGTCGTTTTGATTTATTTACATACTCTGACGTTGGCCAGATGTGGAAATAGGGGATGGAGTGGGGGTAGTCTGAAAGAAAAACAACCCGGCCGCTGCCCATGCCATTATCCAGGCTGAGCCTCGTCCCAAATACACTCTAAATCACTCAGACAGATCATGCTACTGAGCTATACCCATACAAACACACAGATGTGACACATATGGGGCCTTCGGCATTAAATAAGCTCATAGTGGCGAAGTCCCATCCGCTATAATCATTCGGCTGGATGTTAGAGTGTGCAAGTTAAGATTTACACATAGAAAATACTTTGCTATGAGTTCCTAAATAAAAGTAAAAGCATATACCATGTTGTATCACTTGGTTTGATAAAGTGCTTTAATGGTAAGGCATGATAGCAGCATTCCTCTTGAGTGAGCTGTCGACCGATAAAGACCAGAGACACATCACTCACCATACATCAGTGTTACCCAACCATTTATGTCTAATGTACACCCACATTACCATCAGTAAAGCCCTTAATCGACACAATCCAGAAACGTGTTGTTATTCAATATGGGGATGATTTAGCATTATCAGTAATATTATTATAAATACAATTGATACTGGGGTGAAAAATCCATCCAACCAAATGTATAAAACTTTAAACATATTACAAATGTGCACACATTAAATATGTTGTATGATTTAAACAATCCTAAAAATAACAAAGTATTAGTTGTTTGAATCTAATTTGTTTTAAAGGTTTAACAAAAATATATACTATCCTTAATTTTACCAGCAAGATGTATTGCAAAAATAAAAATGTTATATATAAATAATATGAACAAGTATATAGGTTTTATTTATATTTCATTTATTATATATAGCCATCATTGAGTCTGTCTTGTGCACTTCAGTAACTGTCTGGTTTGGCTCAGCTACAAAGTCAGATATCAGAAGACTACAGCGGATGGTTCGGACTGCTGAAAAGATAATTGGTGCTCCCCTGCCCACCCTTCAAGAACTGTATACATCCAGAGTGAAGAAAGGGGCTCAGAAAATCCCTCTGGATCCCTCATCCAAGCCATCTCATTTTTGAACTTTTGCCATCTGGTCGGCACTACTGAGCTCCAAACACCAGGACTGCCAGGCACAAGAAAAGTTTCTTCCCCCAGGCAATCTACATCATGAACAGTTAAATGCTCTCCCCAATGTGCAATAAAAATATGTGCGATTCCACTTATATTTATTTGATACTACCCTACATCTTAGTCCATCCCTACATCTTATTCTATTCTATTCCATCTATAGCACACCTGTACATACAACTTTTTGTCTATTTTAAATATATACACGTGTATTTTATTCATATATCTTTATATTATCTGTGTGTTGTTGTTGACTGTG